TCCTTTTTAATTAGATTTTTATTAAATATTTATTTATTTGTGGAAAATACTTTGTCATCTAAAGTATAAGTATGTTTATTTTACAAAATTATTTTGAATCCATTTTCAAATGATTTCAAATTTCTTAAATATTAATGAAAATAAATACAATTATATCGGCTTTATATCGGCCATTGGCCACCCAGCTTTCCAAGATATCGGCATCGGCTGTCAAAAAACCAATATCGGTCAACCACTACTTGTGATGTTCATATGAGAGTTCGTGGTCAAAACTGACTGGAGACCATAATTGTATAATAATTTTATTTTAATGAAATTAATGTACTGTATTTCATTTTAATAATGTTTATATATATATATATAAATATAAACATTACATATATAATATATGTGTATATATACTGTATTTATATATATATATATATCATGTTACTAAACAATATTCACATCTAAATTATGGACCATTTATTTCTGTATAAAATGTAAAAATGGATGCCTGTATAGCGCTATATATAAATATATAATTGTTGATTCCCTAGTTATTTAGAACAGTTTTTCAGACACAAACTTATTTCACAAGTTGTCAAAACTTTGCTTTGTGTTACAGTCACGCCAGTGTGCGTATCTACTTGACACTCTTGATGTTTTAGAGTTTCAAACATTCACTGCTATGCTTTTTCTGCTTTATGACTGAAAATCTCTGTATTTCCATATTTTTATATCTTATATCCCTTTTCTTTCCTATGGCGGTCAATTTGGACTGAGAACCACACAAGTGTGACTTTTTTTTGTGAATCGGACTACACAGGTAGTCATTTGTTCATTTCGTTCATTTGTTTTTGTGTGCAGCCCTTGAATAGCAGACCTGCGAAAATGGTGTGGTGCAGAAACATCATTTCAGTTTTGTTAATCAAATTTGACAACTTACATTTTTTCATATTTCTGATGAGTTTGAATGCACCACTGTTCTATATTGTACTGTATATGACTTTGGTGCAAGGAAGGACAGAAACATAAAATTAAATACATTTGTATAGCATGTGTATCATATCATGTAGATAGTTCTTTAGAAGACATGCTATTTTACTTTAAATTTCTTGTTTTGGGTGTATTTGCATTTATTTTACTTATGTATAGATGTTGTAGCTATTTATATTTCTGTTTGTGGTGAAGCCTGTTTATGAATCCACAGCATGTACTTAAATTTTCCCACCATTATAAATGTAGATTTGATTTTTTAGTTAAAAGGTCAATTGTACCAATTTTTTAAGCATTCTTTTTTTATATTTATTTAGTGAGGAAGGCTGGGATTTTGGGACAAATTGTTTAAATGGTTTTGACAGACACATCAATATTTCAAGAAAACAAATACTCATAGAATTTCCCCTCTAGTCCCCAGCAGATATGACACGCAAGATCCATGCTGGAGATGAAGTCATCCAAGTCAATCAGCAGACAGTGGTATGTATTTCTGCACACAATTTCTTTGTATTAAACAGTGGTACATTAGTGCATTCTGGATTTGTCATATTTGAAAAGGATTTGTGCAGTGTTGCCTTAGATTTAGTTTGAAACCTCATTCTCTGCGGTAGCATAATCTGAAGAGCCTGTGTCTGTATATACAGAATGCTTTTGGGCAGTACTTAAGGGCCTGTGCTTGTTTGCTCCAGGTGGGTTGGCAGCTGAAGAACCTGGTGGCCAAGCTGAGAGAGGACCCTAAAAGTGTGGTGCTTCTTTTAAAGAAAAGGCCCACAGGAACCTCAGGATTTACCCCAGCACCTCTCAAAAACATGCGCTGGAAACCTCCCGTGCCTCAGGTGTGTCAATTCTAACAGTCATCAACTCTTAGATGATCGTAGAAGTGAACCGAATAATTTTTTTTTGTTTTTCAGATTGTACAATTGTTAATCAAAGACAACATGTATTAAATATTTATATTAATAATTTTATATAACCTTATTTTAACACTATATGGCCAAACATGTGGACACATCTTGCAAAAAATGTAAATAATTTACATTTAACATGAAATTTTGAAATAGATATTGAATCAGGTATTTTGTCCATACAATGAAAGAAATGAGTTCAATGTAATATGCCATTGTTTCAGTCTCATAAATTTGAACTAACTGAATCTAACTTGCTTGTTTCACAGCTATCCATATTTTAACAGTTCATACTTTTAAACTGAATACATTTGTATTGTTCTAACAATACATGTTAATGCTGATTCTAAGCAAATTGAATATATGCATTTTGAAAATATGAGTATTTAAATAAAATTAAGTAGATGCAAATAGTTAATATTAAACTACGCCATGATTGTTTTTGAGTGTAAAAATTTATGTTTCATTTATGTATGACTGACAAATATGCATGACATGAAGTTTATTTTAGGGATGCACGATATTATCGGACCAATATCAGAATTGGCCGATAATGACTTTAAATGTAAATATCGGCATTGGCCCGATATGAAAAATGATGCAGATGTCTTGCCGATAAGTGTACTGTCATTATAAAAGAACTTTATTATTGTTTATTTAATTCTAACAAATAAGTTCCTGTTAAAAACCAAAATTAAAAATAATTATATATCGGGATCGGCTATCGGCCAAAATCCAATATTGTGCATCCCTAGTTTATTTGTTTATGTTAAAATTGTAATACAAATGGATGTGAATTTATAGTCAAGTAAATACTTTTTTTTTTTTTCCTAAAGTTTTTACGAAATCACACAACATCACAATATTGTTTGAACAAAGTGCGTTGGTATCGGTTTATACATCTTAGAATTATTATATTAACATAAATTATATGTTGCTTTGAATGCTTAAAAATGAGGTGTGCATGCCATTTTCAGGTATATTCGGTGACCCCAAAAAGTATTTCTAACATTTTGGAGTCACACCAATGTCTAAAATTGTTTGTTTTATCATTGTGTTTTATAGGCCTATACATAGTTGCATTAATACATCAATTTTATTTTGTCAATCTATTTAGTGATATTTGGCTTTTTATTTGTGGAGAGATGTTTTGAAAAGGCGAATGAAGTACAAATGGTTTTCCTCGTGTTCTACAGAGCTCCACATCTCCTAGTAAGAGTCAGTCAGACAAGTCTGCCAAACTCTGCAGTAGGAAGGACAAGCCAGCCATACTGGACCTGTACATCCCTCCACCTCCATCAGTGCCTTACACACCACGGTGAGACTGGATGCTGTTGTCACCAAGAAAACCTCTCTGAAGGTTCTCTTGTAAAATGGAGAAGTGAAATACCTTGTAAATATTACGGTATTTTGATGATGGTAAATATTCCGTTTATGGGATGTATTAAAGTACAATGGAGTTACTATCAGACTATCAGATGGTACCAACGTAGTACTTTGCAGTAGGATTCTCACTTTTCCATTGCATTTCTGAACTTAACTCCAAAGATGCTAAAAGAATAGTTTACCTAAAAATGAAAGATAAAAACATCACAATAATCCACTCCAGTCCATCAGTTAACAGTTTGTGAAGTGAAAAGCTGTGTTTAAGCAAGAAATCCATCATTAAGATGGTTTTTAAGTTCAAACGAGTCCTTGTCAGGTGTGACAGTGTGTACTCAAACACAAACAACAACCGAAGACTGAAGAGTGAACTAGAGCAGCTTAAATACAGGGTAGTTGAGGGAACTAATGACTTCTAATATGTGGAGGGAAATTAGAACAAAGGACAACAGGAAACTAATGAAAACAAACGAAAAGTCCATGATAATGAAACTAACTGAACAGAACCATGACAGTCCTCTATCCATAATATTGATTTTTCCAGTGTAAAACTGAACTCTTCTGAATCAAGAGTGAAATACGCACATATTCAGCATCATTTGAAATGAAAACAGTCCAAAACAGCTCTAAACAAATATGTTGGTGGATTTTGATGGGAGAGGACAACAGAGGATGGACTTTTTCACTGGAGGAAGCATTATGGATTATGGACTCTGAATGGATTTTGGCCAGAAGCGATGGCTTAAAATTAAAAGATTTTCATCTTTGGGTGAACTATTCCTTTAAGCATGATTCTATGTTTTTTAATCATTCCTGCTGATTAAACAGGCTTTTGTCCTCTGTTACAGGGAAGTACGGAACAGCTCATACACCAGCCTGAATGTCAGACCTAAAGGCTCGGAGTCCCCAAACTCCTTCCTGGACCTGGAGAGCCACCGGCGCTTCACCATTGCAGACTATGACAAACTGTCCGTTCAACCACTTGAGGTCAACGTACAGATGCGTCCAAGAGGAAGATCCTCATCACAAGGTCATTATTTCAGAAAAAAAAATCAGATTTAAAAGTTTCAGATTCACATTTTTTTTCATCATTGCAGTGTAGCCTAAATTGAACAATTTTTTTGTCCTTTTGTATGTTTACATTGAGTTTGACTGTTTTACATGAATGGTGCACACAGGTAAACCACGACCTCTGTCAATGCCTTCGGATACATGTTTGAGCGTGGCAGACCTGTATGCAAAGCCCTGGACACAGGGACGGAAAGGTACATAACACATTCACACCAATCCAGTTTAACCACTTCAGAGACACACATGGAGAGAATAAAAAAACACATAACAGAATAAAACGATAGGCTTACATAAAAAATGAATATATAGGCCTATACACGAAATATATTTCACTTAAATCATTGACAGATTAACAAAACGAAAGACATTTTTTTTGCTGAGTTTCGGTTCATTGTGATCCAAAGTTCACGGAAAGGAAAACGAGACGGCAGAAAGTCTTTATTTTGCAAAAGCTTTGCAGTTTTATTTATTTTGCAAAAGCGTGACAGTTTTGATTGATGTCTTGCTTATATCTGTAGGCTATAACCAACCAGCGTTGGTACGACCATATCGCGCCGGCGCCTCACGTGCACACAGACACAACATATTTTTGCGACATTGCAGCTTGTTCATTATCAAAATAAAATACAGTTAAAGAAACATAAAAAGTTACACTGCTCCGTTGTACAATCTGTTGCGTCCAGCGTGACCACTGTGCTGATATAGCTGACGTGAAGGATGATGTTTTACGTTGATGTGAGTGAAGTACAAAGCCTATTACATAATAAATAATATTTGAGCATATTTGAGCATATGTCGCGAATATGGAAACATTTGGATTTGTGCCGAATGAGAAAGGCATCAGTTTTGCCTTAAATTAATTTGTTTTTGGCTTGACGTTTATATAGCCTAAACGCTTTATATAGCCTTAACTTTAGAGGATTTGTTGTGGAGAGAAGGGAACTAATAGCTGTGTTTATAATGTTTGTAAACATTTTGCTTTACCGGTAGTTTAGTCTGCATTATTTCTGAATGTAATAATTAAATGTGACGTGAGCCTACGCGACTTATGTTTTTTTCCTCTCAAAACGCAATTTTATACGAGTAGCGTTTTTTTTTTTTTTTTACAATGCAGCAAACATTTTTAAATATCTTGAAAAAATACTTTCATGTGTTTAAATCGTTAACAGATTTTTTCTTTTCTTATTTTTAATAAAATATTATTATTATTATTATTATTGGCAAAGAAAAAGTTTAAAAAAATAATGTTATTAACCGGTATTTTTTCTACTCAAACCAGTTTCGAAATGGTAATAATACAGAGGAACGCAGGAGGAACAGAAACGTTAAAATATCGATTCTGCTCGGAGTGAACAGATTGAATTTTTTTTTTTTTCATCTTCAAGCCCTGCCTTAAAAGCCATGTAAGCTCTGACAGTAAAGACTTTTATATTGTTACAAAAACCTATTTCAAATAAATGCCGTTCTTTTGAATTTTCAATTAATCAATTTCATATTAGAATGATTTCTGAAAAAAACACTGAAGACTGGAGTAATTCAGCTTTGAATCACTATACAGTATATTACATTTGAAAATATAGTCAAATAAATTAAAAAAAAAGATATTTTTGAACTGTAATAATATTTCACAGTAGTACTGTTTTACTGTATTTTTGATTAAGTAAATGCAGCCTTGGTGAGTGTGACCTTCAAAAATGTTAAAAATCTTACAGACCCCCAAATTTTGAAATGGTAGTGTTTATATAACTCCACTCACAGGAATTACTTTGGTAACGCTTAACCATAAGTTTATCTGCCTATAATCATAATTTCAACATCCCATTTTTACATACTGTATGATTGCTGGGAAATTTGTTCTAGGGATTTGAAAACATCTGCAATTACATGCATCTTTTAATCTTCTGGTCTAGGTGAAGATCTTCTGTACAGATACCTAAGCAACGAACGCATACCAACTATCGCTGAGGAGGCCCCGGGCCCAGGCTCGTCTTACAAGTTCACAGCCGAAAGACCCGCTTATGGGATCGACTACTCAAGGAACAGCCGATTCCTTGTCAGTGCGGATCTGCACAACAGCGCCACCATACCTTATCAAGAGGACTTTGTCAAAAAGACCCCCATGACATCCACCCCCAAACGGCCCCCCGCGGAGCCCTCGCTACTGGTCAGTTGGATCACACGGCTTAAGCTATTGACTCACTAATGTCAGCTTGCCTTCACCCTTTGTCCAGCTGTGTGCGGTGACTCTTTTCTCATGTACTTTTTCATGCTTTCACTCTCCTTTTCTTGGGGTATTTCTTTGTGCCTCTTGCAACGAACGCATACCAACTATCGCTGAGGAGGCCCCGGGCCCAGGCTCGTCTTACAAGTTCACAGCCGAAAGACCCGCTTATGGGATCGACTACTCGAGGAACAGCCGATTCCTTGTCAGTGCGGATCTACACAACAGCGCCACCATACCTTATCAAGAGGACTTTGTCAAAAAGACCCCCATGACATCCACCCCCAAACGGCCCCCCGCGGAGCCCTCGCTACTGGTCAGTTGGATCACACGGCTTAAGCTATTGACTCACTAATGTCAGCTTGCCTTCACCCTTTGTCCAGCTGTGTGCGGTGACTCTTTTCTCATGTACTTTTTCATGCTTTCACTCTCCTTTTCTTGGGGTATTTCTTTGTGCCTCTTATTTGTCTACATTACCACGTGACTAGATTGCCTAGAATGTGTCTAAAATTACTAGAATTTAACCTCAGAAATGTATGTTTGGAAACACATGTGGGCAAAAATGAGATACATTATCTCTGCTTAACTCAGTCATCTTTTCAGAAATAATGACTTGTACACCACAGTAGGGTACAACGGTGCTAAAGAGGCCCCGGGGTAAAAGGCACCTTTGATATTATTTTCATCTAAACCACTAGATGGCACAAAAACGTGGCATAGCACTTTCCAAAACATCCGCTTTTCAAGATGCACGTGTATTTTTGTCTGATCGCGAGCGCAGCAGTGCAAAGTTGATTATGTGCTTACTTGATCTAATATTTTATGTTTTT